CAAGTAAGTAGGCTAAATAACTTTAAAGTTAGGCTTTAAAGGGTTAAGAACGACCTGGTTTGGTGCTGTGGACTGGAGAGGGAGTTGTAGTGAGCTTTTACCTGTAGACTATCCTCTCGCGGTGCAGGTCCTCCAGGCCGCAGCAGATCTCCGCGGCGTAGAAGATGGCCCTCTGCTCGTCGAAGCCCGAGTTGCCCATGTTGTAGATGTGGAACTTTAAGTCTCCCCCATTCATTATGGTCAGCACCAGGCACAGCGCGTCCTTGGTCTCGTAGGCATAGGCTAAACTAACCTGGAGGGAAAGGCCAGGTGTCGGGGGCGGGCGAAGGGAGGGGAGGAGTTTTAGAGAAGGGGGGAGGAGGAAAGAGGGGTGAGGAAGAGATGGAAAGAAAGGCGGTAAGACACAGAATGTCTGGGAGACCATTACGACTTCTCTGGGTTTGTTTAACTCATTGACTGCCAGCCGTTTTCAGAACAGAGAGTCCCATACTGCCAGAGTTTTTTCAGCATTTTGACTGATTTTTCAAGAGCCACAGAATAGTTTGTGCTATGACTATGTAAACACCGAACACACCAAAAGAAAGAGTAGACTCTCTTCTTTCATCAGGAAAAAATATTTGTTTCTACCTTATTCCGTTCTTCCTCGACTTGCATCTCACCGGCGACATGTTCTCTCATAGCGAACCGTTACCTTTTTCTTATTTGCCTACAGTCTATGCTCATCTCCCATCAAAAGTGGAACTGCCAATTTGTTAGTACATACTCTGTCTAGAAGCCTGATATTTACGGACAAGCTTTAGCAGATCGTCCCCCAGCCACTCTTGTTGAAAAAACATAAAAGACGTCTATAGACGTCTTTGGCAGCCAATGAGTTAATGCCACAAATAATCATTTTCCCAGCCGGAATGCGGAGAATGTACACAGAGTCAAAACCAAAGGAAAAGAATTGTCTCCCTCTGATCCCACCATCCATCTCTGGGTAGTCCCTTCTTTCCCGTTTTTCCCACCAGCCCCCCCCCTCCCAAACCCCCCGCGGGTCAGTGACACGCAGAGTACAGCATGTGTTTTGTTTTTTGTGTACAAGCAGGATGTCTCTGCCAGCGGGAGGAATCCCATCTGCCTGGAAGCGCGAAGAGGATTCATACGGGAAAAACTACAGAGAGGATTTATGCACTAAACTCAGGATCTGGGTTTCAACCCTTATTCAAACTGGTCCAGCGAGCAGAGAGCTTTGTTTGGTCATTTTTAACAAACTACATCCAATCACAGGAAATAAAGCACTTATTTTGATGGATTTTTTAAATAATTTTACTAATTATATCATAGTTATAGTTTATAGTAATATTGTTCTTATTCAAAAGCCCTCAATGGTATGCATTGAGGATATAAAAAAAATAGATTTAATAGCTTTGTTTGGTCATTTTTAACAAACTACATCCAATCACAGGAAATAAAGCACTTATTTTGATTGATTTTTTAACTAATTTTACCAATAATATCATAGTTATAGTCGATAGTAATATCGTCTTATTCAGAAGTCCTCAATGGTAATAAACATTGAGGATTTTGGATATTAAAAAAATAGATTTAATAGCTTTGTTTGGTCCTTTTTAACAAACTACATCCAATCACAGGAAATAAAGCACTTATTTTGATTGAGTTTTTAACTAATTTTACTAATAATATCATAGTTATAGTATATAGTAATATCGTTCTTATTCAGAAGTCCTCAATGGTAATAAACATTGAGGATTTTGGATATAAAAAAAATAGATTTAATAGCTTTGTTTGGTCATTTTTAAC